CGCTCATTTTTTGAGCGGTCGCTCATTTTATGAGCGGTCGCTTGTTTTTTCGCGTGTCAGAGGAAAATGAGCGACCCGCCCGAAAAATGAGCGACCGGAAGAAAAATGAGCGACCCGCTCATTTTATGAGCGGTCGCTTGTTTTTTCGCGTGTCAGAGGAAAATGAGCGACCCGCCCGAAAAATGAGCGACCAGAAGAAAAATGAGCGACCCGCCTGAAAAATGAGCGACCGCCCGAAATCAAAATCGGTCCAAAAAGGAAAAGCCCGTGTTTTGAGGAGAAGACCTAATTCTGAACATTCACAAAAAGGGGAGTTTGAGGAGAGAGAAAGGGGGGCTACACACTTTGGGGAAAAATCACCTTGGAGAGGAAGAAAAGAGGGATTTTGGAGATCAAGGAGGCTAGGAGAAGAAGAGGACCACCATTGAAGACCATCTTGAGCATTTCTTCTCCTTTTCCATGTTTCTTCATTTTGCTTTCTGTTTTGAAACCTTAGTTATGGAGTAGTGACTTTGTTGTGGGTGAGGGATCCCCACTTTTGTATGGACACCTATGCTTATCTATGATGCTTTTGAGTTTTCTTCCATTGGTTTGATGTTTTGTGCTTAATGCTATTGATTTGGTTGAAACCCTAATTGATATGACTGTAGAACACATTGATCATAGGGATATGGGAATGATGTTTGGAACCAAATGTCAAATGAGTGAGTTATTCACATTGGGAGATGGCTTAGCTTGCTTAGGGTTCATGATGGGATACATTAATGCATCTAGAGATCATTTGGATCATTGGGAAATGGGTGAATCGATTCTCTAGGTAGTGAGTTTAAGCTCGGGAGAGACAAGCTCTAGAGGAAGTGCTTGAAACCCCCAATTGGAAGATAAACCCATAGGTATTGTAGCATCACTAACCGTCCACGCGAATCTTGAGGGATCCCGAACCTACAGCGCCTTAAATCATCGTTTTATAAACCGTTAATTTTACTTGCTTTCTTGTATTCCGACACCTACTACAAACCACATTTTTACTTGACCACCTAATCTAGCTTAGAGAATAGACTAATACATCCTAGTCCTCGTGTTCGACCCCGGTACTACAACTACCGTATACTTGCGGATAGTGGTACGAATCGGGTATTAAATATAAGACTCGGTGCGTGCGCATCAGTTGTGTTCCGGGCTGTTGTATTATCTTCCATAGTCTCGAGGTTTTAGTTTCCGAACGATGTCCTGTTTCATTTCAGTTCAGTGAGTTCAGGTGAATACCTCAAAGCGATTGCTCGTATAAACATCATGTATGCAGTCCGTACAAGTACTGAGATCGATCAAAGTCTAAAAGGAAAAAAAATATATTAAAGAATTGAATCAATCGAATGGTGCAGTAGAGTTGAGGAGTTGGAAGAAGGAATGGAAGGCGGGAAGGCCAGCACGCTCGAGGAGAGAGAGGGCGAGGTGGGAGTCATGCCATGCACTGAGCGACCTGGCCAGCTTCTGCAGAGTGTGGAGCCTCACCGGCTGAACCCATGCGGGGGCTCTGGTCACGATCAGACCCACCACACAAGCCACATACGCCTTCCACATCGCACCGTCGCACCCAACCGACACCTTCCCTTCCACCACTCTCACCATGAACTCCATATGCGCCCCTATCATCCTCGACTTCCTCGTCTTTGACACTGAATAAGACGGCGGCTTCGGCCCCACCCCCCACACCATCGACCCCGCCACCACCACCATGTATGCCAGTGCGTATCCTTGCATTATCCTCCCTACTCTCCCTTCTTCCCCTTCTCCTCCTTCCCCTTCTCCTTCTCGGTTCCTCCATGTCAGCATCCATGTCGCCACTGTCTCCTGGTACAGTTCTTGCACCAGCCTCAGCCCTCCGGTCACTGCCATCAGGCTTGCCCCCAGCATTCCCACCTCCCTCGCCTTCTCTGCTGCGGCCCACAACGACTTCTCTCCTCCCCTTCTCGCCATCCATTTCACTGTTGCTTCCCCGGCTTTCTCCACCACCAGCCCTATTATCATGTTGTTCACGCATTCCACGTTCTGTATCGTCCGGCAGCTCCTTAGGTAGAGGAACCCTGGTGCTAATGTCGGAAATTTCCCTTGAGCTCCTAGGATGCTTCCCAGTAACCCGTGTATGCTCTTGTCCTTGTTCAGCATCGAAGTGGAGTTGCTCGAATATCTGAGGAATGACGTGAAACAGCTCCTTAGGATCTGAGACAGAGCTTCTTTGTTTTGTCTGAACACGGAACGAGAGCAGGCCACCACTATGAAATCGTGCCAACGGCGGACCTTCTGGGCCCAGAGAGAGCTGATTATGGGAATGCTCGGCCAAGCACAACCCGATGCACAGTTCTCCAAAGCAGGCCCGGCGACTGCATGGATGTATTCGAGGTTCTTGGTGAGTTTGAAAGTGATTGTCAAGCTGACAAGAGCTGCAACTGGCAATGGAAGCATTGCCTGTGAATCCTCTGCAACCAGAGAGGAAGAAGAAGGAAACATAACAAGTGAGAACCTCTTGATCAATGAATAGCAAGCAAATAAGAATCAAAGCTCAATCATACCAGAGGAGGAACATATCCGAGTGTTAACACCAGCAGTGGACAATACTTGCTTCATTTCAGATTCAACCGTAGGAAGGATGGCTGCTGGACTCGGCCAATCAGTTCCATTCATTGGAACGGGTTTCCAGATTCCACGTGTAACTTCTGCGGAGAAGTAACTAATGATAGCCGCTAGAGATGCCGGCAAGAAGTCCACAAGATCCCTTAAGCCTACAGGAACGCCACGTCAGAATTCAAAGTATTACGATACTCCACAACACAATATGCAACAATTTTCAGATATCCATTAGCAACATGAAGTGGAGCCAATCGCTACTGAACGAGAAAGGGATTACTGACAAATAAAAACAGATCATTTATGACTGACCAGTTGTCATGTCCCTGGATGAAAGCCTTCCATGGGTGCAAGCGCTTAAAATCGCTTCTAGGACATATGGGATGGCTTCTAAGACCTCCCAGGCCGGAAATGTAGGTTGTTGTTGAGCATCATCCTCGAGAACTACAGGTGATTCACTGATGCTGCTGCTGCCTGATAGTGTCGAAGAATTGCCAGAAGATGGCCCACCTTTTGACATCTTAGAGAAAATCATACTTAAGATCTTATTGGCAGTCTGATGAACAGGACTTGATGTGGACAGGCTAGACAGCGTTGAAGCAAGACAAGATTTGTTCTGACAATGCCAAGCCCGTAACTTGGGAAAGAAATCAATGTATACAGGCTTATCTGATGCACACTCAGACTGGTGGATGCTTGGGCAGTTTCCATCAGTGACAGGAGAATCATTTGATGAGATACGGTTATTGCGCAAGAGTAAAAGATACTCAAGGGAGAGCTCAACTCCAATTGGTCCACCAGCTAGGCACTGCTCCAGTGGAGGTTTATAGAATTTCCAAAGACGGAGAAGGAACAGAAATGCAGCAGAAAAGACCATGTAAACTGATGTCTCGTCGCCTGTTTTCAGTTTGTCAGTTGCTGCAGGAGCAAGAGATCCAAAAACCTCGCAGAGTGGCAATAAAGCCGCTGCAACCTCAGGAACCTACCAATCAGAAAACAGGATTATATCAGACGGACAGTGATACCAGAGGAAGAAGGTCTGTGACTACAAAATGTCGGTGAAACAATGTAAAATGATGGCATGACTTACGACACCATGTAATGAGAGAATGTGGACATTGTCGACGGAAGAGACTCCGAAAAGGATGGCACTTAGCATTGGCATGTCATCGATTAAGTGACTCTCTTGTCCACTATAACCAGGAGGTGCAGGCGGAGAGAGAAGCTTGACAATGAAATGCACCACATGTTCCTGACAAACAGAACACACGTCGTCTGGCTTCAGCAAACTCTCACTTCCAACAAAATCAAGATAGAAAAGTCTAATCTTTTTTCACTTCCGAAAGGTCAATCCTTCATCTATTATAGGATGAAAAAGAAAATCGGAATAATAAGAAAGAACTCCTCAAATCCACTTTTCTCTTTTAGTTACTAAAAGGAGAAAACCAACGGCACTGGATAAATGGACATCAATTCAGAGATATGTTTACCTGAATATTCCATCCATGGCTTAAAGATGCACCACAGAGAATCTTTGCTGCCATTGCTTTTTCCTGTGTGGATCCACCCAATGCAATTCGATACAACTTTTCTATCTCCGCTACACTTGATGCAAATAATGGGCAAAGAAAATTAACAACCCATTGAAGGAATCAGGTTGGAAACTTTTATTTTCTACCTTGAAGCAGGAGTGTTGATGAGCAGATTAACAAGAGGACCACTTAAAGCAGCGCCTTCCATGAATGCTAACCAGGGAGAACTCTGAGCAGATGTCACATCAGATGCTAGAGGTTGCAAAGTAGACAGGAAACCAGGCCAGAAGTAGGCTGAAGTATCGATGAGGTTTCTAGAAATGCAAGCTTCTACAATGAGGTGCCACATATTGCCACCACCTATACCAAAATGGTTATATAAAACATCAATGGATAGCAATTCAGGAGACAAGTTGATGGATTTATGCAACTGGAAGTGCCTGAACTTGGAAGGAAATAGATAAAACTTCCACCACCTGACCCATCTGCTTCACTCTTAGACTTGGAAATGAAACTAGCAGCCCTGGCCTGGGCACTGTTAGCTGCGTCAACTACTGATGCAGGTGGGCAAAGGAGACCAGAAAAGTTCCCCAGAAGCTGAAGAGAAGAATCCAGTCCATGCCTTCTGGAAGCCTGCTCCTTCTCAAGCAATCCCCTTCCATACCCAGTATCCACAAACCTCGGTATCATGGACTCATGGCATGAAAATGAAGGAAATCTGGTATCATCCCTCATAATGTTTGCAATGGCCAAGGGTATGCAGGTGGGCAAAGGAGACCAGAAAAGTTCCCCAGAAGCTGAAGAGAAGAATCCAGTCCATGCCTTCTGGAAGCCTGCTCCTTCTCAAGCAATCCCCTTCCATACCCAGTATCCACAAACCTCGGTATCATGGACTCATGGCATGAAAATGAAGGAAATCTGGTATCATCCCTCATAATGTTTGCAATGGCCAAGGGTACAATTGATAAAAGCACACAGAGCCGGGCTGCAAGATGGGGTATAGGACCCTCGAGCGGTTCACGCTCCTAGGGTAGAAACAATGTAAAGAAAAAAGGAGTGAGAATCAGTGCAGGACTTATGTGAAAGGAAGATATCATCACAGAATAAGCCATACATACTCTTTGCACAAGACGAAGGGCCGACAACCAAAGTTCAAGAAAAGTTTCTTGCCAGCTAGCTTGATTGATAACTTTGAGAGCATAAATCATCTCTGCATTAAGGAAATTGGCAACACCAAGATGGAGAAAAGGAAACGTTTTGTGTATAATATAGATGCATAAAGACAGAAAAATGGACATGGACGGGCCAAGTCAAAATTACCAGAAAGAATTGCAACAACTGATCGGACAGGGAGATGTCTACCATCCATAGCATGCTCCATGTAAATGTCAAAGGAAACCCAACAGGTGGATCGACCAGAAGCTGAACTGCCGGGACAGCCATAAACTAGCAACCCTATAAACTTGCGATTGTTTAACTGATACTCAAGTTCCATAACACTGAAAATATTGGCAGATATCTTTTTCAAGAATTGATTTGCCGGGTCTAGGGAGGCGGATTTCATTAGTCTGGCTTCAAGAGATTGCATTCCTTGGAGCAAGCCATCAAATTTCTGAGGCCTGGAGACAGAAGCATGAACAGATAGGTAGATAGTGGGAAGCTTCCACTTCATGTTGTGCCAACGTAGAACAAGATGAACAACATAAAACGACAACATGCATGCTTAGACAAAGGAAAGAGAAGAGGGAGAGAGAATTACAAGTTGAGGTAAACGAGCCGGAGTAAGACCTTGGCTTTCCTGGAATTGGTGACCTTGGCAAGTACCTCCAAAGCAGTGAAAGCGTTCTGGGCAAGCAGATTTTCAGTAGAGTCGATTTGGAGGAAATCCTCGAGGGCGGAATCGAGGAGGGAGGAAACGAGGGTGAAGAGGAAGAAGACGAAGGCACGTCCCAAATCCGTAATGGGGACGTTGAAGGAGTGAGAAAGGCGAAGAGCATCGTCGACGGAGCGAACCAGCCTGGCGGTGGAGGCGGCTGAGGAGGAGGAGAGGGCGTGGAGGGGGAGGAGGTGGAGGTAGAGACGGAAAGAGAGAGGGAGGGAGCGGCGGAGAGGGATGAGTCGGGAGGTGAGAAGGGAGAGGAGGTGGAGAGGACAGAGAGTTCCTGACGAGAGCGATTCGTCCATCCATTTCCAGATTGAAGGGTTCTTATCGGAGGAACTGCACACAATACCGACAGCCTCCGCCGCCGCCTCCATCGGAGACTGCACCGCCGGCTTCGGCCACCGACCCCTAATCATTAATCCGAAACAACAGTCTAAACCAAAGTATAAAGGAGAACGCTTTCAACCACCTACTTATATATGTTTTCTTAATATATGCATACATAGTTTGGTGCAAAGAGTCAAAACAGAGAGACAAGCTCTGGCTGTGGGGCCATAAAAACCTTCCATTTTCTCTGCGAATCTAATTGGTTGCCTAGAAAGTGAGAGAAAGCAAAGAATGTGGATTTTTCTCAGGAAGCCATTGATTCACCAGTTGCAGGAACTGATGGATCAAGGTCTGACCTTTCCCTCCACCCCTGTCTTCTTCCCACCTATTTTGCTTATTCTGCTCTGTAATCTTTCTTTTCCTCAGGAAAAAAAACTGGGTTTCTGTTATCAGTACGGGTAATTGGTTGCAAACTTCAGTTACTCGTGTGGTCAAGTGGGCAACTGTAAACGTTATTACAAAGTGACTGGATATCATCTCTCTTCTGGTTTCCTCTTTCCCATGTTGGATATGTACACGTTTGCTTAACGGCCGAAGCACAAACCAAAGGGGAATCAGTCAAATGGGCTTTTGACCCTTTTCTAAGAAGAGATGGAATTATCTGTTGCTTCACCTCAAAATGATGAGGGATTCTATTTCTACTCATTCACTCCCTTTTTCCATCTCACTGACATGAGATGAGTGTCTGGTCAGTTCCAATCATTCGTTACCATTTTATGACAACTTATATCAGCAATTCTTAACAGTCTTGCATTGAATTATTTGTGTGTGTATGCAGATAATCTCTTGGGTGTTCATCCTTAAGCATATTTGCTCTAGAGCGCCGAATATCCAATACGTGCACTTGGCCTGCACCCAAAAAAAAAAAACTTTGAACATCATTCACCTGACAAGATGAATATGCTTACATACTGTGTGATATCTAGAAGAAATCTAGCGAAACAAGCACAACCTTACCCAAATTTAGAGGGCTTACATGAGCTCGAGGACAAGTGCCGATGCTCCTCCCCCGCCATTGCATATTCCCGCCACTCCATACTTCCCCTTCTTCTGTCTTAGCACCTGTAAGGAAAGGACATCAGGTTTAACTTTTTTTGTTTTGTTTTAGGAACTGGAATCATAATCTTTAAGACAATATTTCAAAGGATTGGTCATCAAATGAACTTTGTAAAGCACTAGTTAGAGGGCACGAGCCCTGATAAAGAAAATAGGTGATTCCTTCGGTCCATACCCACTGGTTGAAGGCCATCATTCATTAACATGATTCTCATCTCTTGGAGCAGTCACATAAAAAAAAATACTTCAGATATAGAAATCATCAGATGGGGGAATGCATCCCATTGTTGGACTTACCCCTAATAATGTGACCAAGACACGAGCTCCACTGCATCCCAATGGATGTCCCAATGATACAGCTCCACCATGCACATTAACTCTTTCCTGTTTGACACAACACATGATCAGACACCATTGGACAGTGGAAACACCAAAATAAAGAACATTCAACTCCATAATCCAGTTCATGACTCACAGGATCTAGACCCAGCAGTTTTTGATTGGCAAGAGCTACCACCTGTAGGTGTGAGAGGTCAAAAACGTTTAAATTTTTGAATACCCATAAACTAAAAACGAAGAAAGCTAAGAGATTTACAGAGAAGGCTTCGTTTATTTCGTAGTAGTCAACTTGGGATGGATCTAAACCAGCACGAGATATGGCTTTTGGAATTGCTAGAGTGGGCGCTGTTGTGAAAAGCTCAGGTGCCTGCATTGCTGACTCACATTTGGTCAAACACTAAACTTTCTCGGAAGTTCCACAAAAACAGAGATACCGAGAAGCTTAAATTTCTCAAAGTACCTGAGCAGCATCAGCATATCCTCTAATCTTGGCGATAATATGCAGTCCAAGTTCAATAGCCTTCTCTCCGCTCACCAGCACTAATGCTGCTGCACCATCACTGTTCACAAAAGTAAAGCGGTGTCGATTACTGGCTGTTGGCAAGTAGACATGAATTGCTTAGATGAGTTATGACACAAAATTCAATGGTAAAACAGAACATATTCACTACTGCTGGTAGAACATCTGACGAATGCTTTACTGCACAAAGAACAGACAAGAAAGATGTGGACCTCATACTTGACGCATTGCCAGCAGTAACAGATCCACCATCCTCCTTAAAGCTCGGTCGAAGTTTCTTTAGCTTAGCAGCATCAAACTGGAATACGGGTCAGGGGACAAATTTGACATTGTAAATATAGATGACCGCTGACCATGATCTAAGTAAAGGCTATAGTCAAAGTTGAAACAAAAACCCATCTTGGCGTTTACCTTCCCTAAACCTTCATCCTTGTCAACAGCTACTGAAGGCCTTCCTCTTCCCATAGAAACTTCAACCTGCATATACGAGCTAACAAAAATTTTCTAGCACAATCACAAAAAGTGTGAACTTCAAAGAACACAGGAGAAGCCAAAGCACACCGGGACAACTTCCCAAGCAAACAAACCGGCTTCTTGAGCTGCGACACCACGCTCAAAGCTCTGGATAGCATAAGCATCCTATGAAAAAAAAATCATTTTTATCGTCAGAGAAAGTTGTCAACAGCAGCGAAGAAAAAAAAAAAGCTTGATATGACTACCAGAAAACACTATGAGCAATCAATACACGGTAGAAACAATAATAAGCTACAAGTGCAGCTCAGGGATGGATAATGGGCAGCGACCTGTTCTTCTCTTGTAATCCCGTGCCGATCAGCACATATTTCAGCACAAACTCCCATTCCAAAATCATTATACACGTCCCAGAGGCCATCTTTTAGCAGACCATCAACAATGGTATCATGGCCTAAGCGCAAACCCTTTCTGCTCCGAAATACCAAAAAGAAAAGATTAAACAAGAAAGCTCCTGAAATGAGCATACAAATGAATCTGCAAAGCCTGTTGAGGTATTTTCTTTTTGAATACGAGAATGTAAAGATTATACAACCTTTCCTGCAAGTGTCTTCCACTTTTCAATTTCAAGTAAGAAAAAGAAAATTGCTTACCTTGCTTCTGTGAGATACTTAGGTGCATTTGACATGCTCTCCATTCCACCGGCCACCACAACATCATTCAAGCCAAGTTGGATACTTTGAGCCGCTATCATTACCGCTGTGAGTTCACAGGTGAAGAAGCTAAATCAGAGATCAATACACTTGTTAGAATGATTATAGAGAAGGGTAGACTTTGATTTAAGGGAACATGCCTTTCATTCCGGATGCACAAACTTTGTTCACAGTGGTGCAGATCACTGAATGAGGAATTCTGGCGCCAAGGGCAGCCTGCCTTGCTGGTGCTTGGCCTAGATTGGCGCTTAAGACATTGCCAAAGAAGACTTCTTCCACAAGCGAAGGATCCACATTCGCCCTTCTTAGAGCACCTTTGAGTAGAGTATGAAGTAATTAGAAAAAAACTAACAATCAGAATCAAAACTCGACTTAATGGAGATGGAAGATGAGAAATAGCAGAGAATTACATTCAATGGCTATGGATCCAAGTTTTATGGCAGTCAATGATGAAAGGGAACCAAGGAAGCCGCCCATAGGCGTCCTTGACATTCCAACAACACAAACATCTGGACTAAGCAAAAAATAAGATGTAATTAGCAACTCCTAAAGCTGAAAAGAAGGGAAAGAACCCAAAATTTGCAAGCAAAATCCATGAAAATGGCGATGCGAATCGATATAAATAAAGGACCAAGCTTTTCTCAATTACAGGAAACACCAAATTGCAAACAACGCCCTAGAATTGGCGCTGTAGAACCCAGAAACAAAAATCATAAAGCGGCTAAACTGTAGATTTTTCGATTAACCATCTAGAATGTGCCTGAGCTCCTGATTTTGGTCGGGAGACCAGTTTAGAAGTGGTAGGAAAAGGTGGAAGGGACTCATAAGGAAGAAGAAGAAGAAGAAGAAAGGAAGGACCTCGAGGCTGTACGGAATCTGAGACAGATAAAGCCATGAAAGACGCTCAAAAAATAATCCGTCGAAGAATCCACGGCCTGAGAAATTCAGAAAGAAACGTTCAGAATCAGACAATTTAAACAAAAAAGATCGCAACTTTAGAGTTGGGCAACACATAACCTTCCGGTTCTATCGCAAGCTAGATATGATATGGAGCGGTTTGGGGGTTTTTTTTTTTTTTTTTTTTTTTTTTTTTTTTTTTGCGCTGCGTGGGGAAAGAGATCAAAGTCGATGCCTTTGATGAGGAAAGTCGGAGAGGATAAATACTCAGTGACGTAAGGCCATGGCAATGGCGGCCCTGCCTCGATAAACGCAAAACGCAAAACGGGGAACGCGTCCTTGACTCCTTATGATAGCATCTTGTATCTTGACACAAATTTACAATTTATCTACCCAGGGAAATTTTTTGTTTCTCGGAGCAACACAACAGAAGCAAAGTTCAAAGCCTTCACTTTCGCTTGGAACAAGACATAACCAAACTACAGAGATTACTCTAGAAACGATTCCTAACTCGTTCCTATGACTCGGTAAACGATCCATGGTAGGAGCTATTGCGAAGGCTGAGCAGATGGATCTATGAACTTGATCTTCAGCTCTATCTCACCAGACTCCACTGCACATAGCCTCAACCATACACTCTGCACTACCTCCCCATTTACGCAACTGATGGCACTCTCCCGAGAAACACAGTTGTCTGAATCTGGTAAGACCTTTCTAAGCGTTGTCTCACCCGAGGAGACACGAATTATGTGCCTCAGTCTTGAAACAGAGATGATCGGTTGAAGGCTGAGATGGGCATGACCCATCTTGTCATCTGCCTTGAATCGGTCTTTATCGAACACTTCCTGCATCAAAACCCGTTTTTTTTTTTGTGCGGAATGTTAATACAGAGCAAGGTTGCAGGTGCAACAATGTGCAGGTGAATAAGCAACACATAAATGACGAGTTAATGCAACAATGAAATAAGATTCCAGAAAGCAGGAAGCCTTGTTAGCACCAAAGCAAAGAGACGAGCTTCTCTAATTTGTTTCTCAATTTGCTGAAGGAAAGAATCCAAATCCACAAGCAGTTTGTTGTCCAAACATTATTGTGCCAATAAGGTTGAAGGTCCAGACAGATGAAATGGAAAAATAAGAGCAATGCAATGAAACGAACCAGAGAGAGAAGAGCAGCGGGATCTGTGAGGGTAAAACTCAATTCTTCGTTCCAGACAGGATTGAGGCAATTGTTGATCACTTTGGTCTTGGCTGACTGGTTAAGAAAACGGTAGAACATCAAGGGACAGCAACAGAGGAAAGATATGATGAAAAACATAAGTAACTATACCATAGTTCGTTCATGAAGTGCTGCAGATAACAGACCATAAAACGCACCACAAAGCACAGTGAACATCAATGGTGATTTCATTTAGGACCAACCTGATTGCCCAGTTTGACAATGACATAAGGATCGCTAGTCTTGAAATCTCGGATTGCCAGTTTTTTCCCTTGAACTACAGTCACCCTGAGCAGTCCTAGCGGCTCGGCCATCTTAAGACACTACAAAAAGGAACCAACTTTTTTTTTAAGGAATCATCAAGAACTGCTAAAGCAGATGGCTAATTTCGCAGGTTGGTACTTGAGTTTTCACACACTTTGAACATATCTGGCTATGAACCACGGATTCACATTCTACCAAAGAGCTAGGCAGCTGTATTTATTCAGATAATAAATCGAATTTCACAGCAGAACCACAGAAAGGAAAAAGGCAAGAAAGGAAGCAAGCATACAAGTAGCCTGTCACTGAAAAGATTGAAGAAGGCGTCAAACAAGAATGGAAATGATAAACCCAACCCAGATTTCCAGGCAAAATTCATTTTCCTGCGATGTTAGTAAGTTCTGCTTCGTGTTTTGCTCCCAAGTTCACAGAAAAATTTGGGAAATGAAATACATAATCCGAGTTTTCCATCCAAAAGCTAATGCGGAGTTGAAGCAACCTATAGGGTATGAAATGCGGCCAATCCACAGATATGTACGATGATTTGTCCACTTCCTTGCACACAAACACGCACAAAGAGAGAGAGAGAGACCTTATAGCTGCATATGAAAATCACAACTTGGTAAAGAGAGAAGCAAACGAATCTGCAGAAAACGGGAACGGATGAAAAAGACTCGAACTTTTTGCTTCCGGCAACCGATATTACGAGTTTCTCGAACAAACCAAAAAAACCCTAACAATGAGTGAAGCGCCCAACAAAAAAAGAATCTGCAAATCCTCTGATGGGTACCAACTGAAAGGGAGGTTCCACTGAGAAAATTGCTAACTTTAGAAAGGAAAAAAAAAAACACAAAAAACAAAAAACCGACAGAGGAGCGAGCTGTCAACTCGAAATCCAACTCCAACAGCGAGAGAAACAGAACCGAAATGTAAGAAAATCCGGGCTTCTTGGCGAATGGACAAACGATCTTCTTATTAGTTACTTTGATTCATACGGAGGAGGAGATATTTTATTGAATCGAATTGAAAGGCAATGAAATCCGATGGGATAATACGGAAAAAGAAATCGTATTGTAGGAGAAATGGACCTTTTGGTTTTATTAATTAACCTCAATTTTCTTGTGACTTCTGCTTAAAAGAACGCGTTTGTCCAATTTGCTGACCCTATATGCATTTTCGGCTTTAGTTATTTCAGTAAAAACTATAATCATTTGATTTTTATATAAATTTTGGATCGTTTCGATTTTGCTTTGATTCGGTGCGGTTTAGATTCAATTTTTTTTAAATAAAAACTCATATTTTTAAGAAATTTTCGATTTTTTAAGTTCAGTTTTAGTTTTTTCAAGTTTAGAGAAGTAATAATCGTTTGGTTTTTATGGTTTTTAAGTAGAATTCCGTTCGACTACGTTGTATCTTATTCTAATAACAAAAATAGTCACCCCTAATTTTACTTGGGACAGTGAGGAGAGGAGATTCACATATGTGTTCTGGTTAGCATTTATCAATCATAATATTCCACAGCGTAGCTTCGACGCTAATCCAATAGTAATCGGCCTAAATTAGGCAACCTAATCATGATTATTATTGTTTAATCCGTGTTTCAAGACGTTAAAAATGTGGCTCCTGTGTTCGAATTCAACAATGGCCTCCCACCAAACTCTATTTTCTTGACCTGTCTGCATGGAACACATTTAACCAAGAAACCTCCTATGAAGAATTCACGGCTGCATAAATAATAGGGCTAATAATTTTTAAAAAATAATATTCCATATTTTAAAATTTTTAAAAGGTTAAAAAATCTATAAATTCAGGTACCTTAAACCTCTAATTATCTAAAGAAACCCTTTTTTTTTTCCCATGGATAGATTTTTCTACATCCACATCATGTAGCTGTAGCACTAATAGTCAAAACGCGTTTTAATATATTATTATGATTTTATTTGTATTTCAACCAAACCTATACTCGACTCACCTGTGTTCAGTCCACCACCAAGTATCAATCAGCAAATAGAATTCATGAACCATCATCATCAGCATCAACAAACAACAACTATAATACAAGATGTCTGCTGATTCGAACAAAAGGTATCATGATAAGAAATCAATGTCAGGTACAAAGGGCAATGAAAATGAAACATCCTGCAAAAAAGAAAGAAACAAGACAGGAACTAACAAGTACAACACACCCATCATGTACATGTGGTTCCCTAACTTCTGCACTAGTAATTTATTCCTTCCAAATCCATTCACGATGGTTAGTAACCTAACATATACGACACCCACATATACAGCTCATTCCTTCTACACCTCTCTCTCTCTCTCAGCTACTGCTCTTTTCCATATTCCAACCGCCTATTCTTCCTTCCAAAGACAAACAACAGCATTTTGTCAATCTCTTCTACAATATCCCCTCATCAACTTTAATTCCATACCTCTATGTTGCTTTCCTCGAGTTTGCTTTACACGCTTTAAGTTTCCATGCACCCTGCAAGCATTTAAAAAGAGCAACCAGCCATCAGAATCCATGAACCCCCTCTCTCTCTCTCTCTCTCTCTCTCCC